CACACACCTGAAAGGCCGTCTCGAGCAGCGCCGTGCTGAACCCTCGGCTGCCAGTGCCGCGGTGCGTGCCAGCCATCTGTGTGCGACAGTAATCACAGGGAAGTCACAGGGAGAGCACACACAGACCTTGCCTCCTCCTTCTCCGCAGCCTGGTGGAGAACCTCCTGTTGGCAGCCCAAGGCCTAAAGACAGCTGAGCCACTCTCCTTGTGTCCCACACAGCAGCATTTTCCCCTTTCCCTGACAAAGACTTTTCCTCTGCTTGTTCTCTCTGGCTTGTGAAACCTTTCCTGCCGCTGAGTTTCTACACAGCTTGCAATCCATTTCTGGATCTTGACACGCTGCTCGAGAGCCAGTTTGATGGAAGGACGCAGCACACGAAGGTTGGTGCGCCGTGATGCTCCATACTCACTGAACCAGTTCCTGTTCCCTACACTGCAGCTCCGACACCATGGCAATGATTTGTAGACATACGTGAGAACAAGGTTCCCAGTGTGCGTAATCTAAACAAAAAAAAACATTATCTAGGAATTAAAAGTAAATTTACAGAAGTAGATAACCTTTCTTTCTTAAGTAATACATCATATAGGTCCTGACAGCTTTACATTGATGTTTCTTGGCTTAGCTGGGAGGGTGCTGAGTCGGGCACTGCAAGGTACCCCATGGCAGCAAAGAGCTGCTTGCAGCAGTGGTCGCTTGAGGGACCTTGCCCTTGAGGTCAAGGGACTCCTCCAGCATCTGGGATTTCATCTCTGCCTCTCCTGCATTTGGCCTCTAGAGCACACCAGTACTAGGAGGTACCTGGGGGCACGTCCACACTCTGCAGCCTGCGCTTCAGTTCTTGTGGGTGCTGCCAAGTCTTCCCTGCGATGGACCATAGCACGTTTGTATTTTTGCTCCATTCATTTTTCTCTTACGGCTTCCTCTTTCCAACCTCACCTTCCCTTATTCTTTTTTTTAATGCCTCCTGCTTCTGTTGTTCCCCTTTCTTTGTCATGTGTCCAGTTCTCCCTCTACTCTTGCTTCTTTTTCACTCTAGATGAGCACAGTGGTTATGTGTTAGTTACTTAAAATCCCGATAAATTAGGTCAAAAAGCCTGATGAATCTGATGTGGTCTGTTTCGCACAAAAAAAAAAAGAGTGAAACTGAAAACCACCTTATTCTTCTCAACTGAAATGCTGCATCCCTATTAATTCAGGTGTATAAATAACACTCTCTAATGCTGCATCAAGGGCTCTGCTGTGTGATTAAACCTGCCTCCCTGACCTGTAATTAGAAACTTTACCTCTGAAAGGCATTTTGCAGAGAGAAAAGGGGAAAGAGAGGAAGAACTAGCTCTGAGACGCAACAATTTTGTTCTTAATAAATTATTCACAGTTTTTGAAAGTTGAGCTGGATTCCCATCTGCTAGCAGCGAAACCCCAAAAAGAAGAAGAATTGAAGAATTCTTGCTGCAGAACACAACAGTATAGAGGATGGGGCTGGAAATAAGAAGCTGGCACAGAGGTGTGCTCTGTCCTCTGCCTGTCCCTGTTCAGCTGCTGCCTTTGCACACCTACCCAGCTGACGGGTCTTGGAGCCAGGCCAAGTGACCCTGCTCCACTGTCCCACGGAGCCACAGAATCATGGGTTTGGGATATAACATTAGGAGAAAACTCCCACATTTAGTGAATGTTTTATTAATGTCAGCAAAACCAAACACTGAACACTTAAAACGGACGGTGATGGTCGTGAGTACAGCGGCTCTTTAGACACAAGGTTGCACAGTCCCACGCAAGCAGTATAACCTTTGCAAGAAAAGTAATTTCAAGATGAATTCATTAATGACATGACTCATATTTTGCCAAGGTTTGGGGGAAGCCTTATGACTACAGATATCAGATTTAAGGTAACTTACACGACACTTACAACTGAGCACTTAAATATCAAGGACCTGTTGGTCTATTTAAACACCAAACATTACTGATTTTTTCAGCACTTTACATCGTCTCTTCTATTTTACCCATGCACAGTTTAAGCTTAGAGAAGACGTCAAATCTACCAAAATATTGTCACTGGCAGAAGTGTCTTCACCCCAGGTTGCCCAAGTTTGTAAATGTATGAGATGCAGAACCATAAAGACAACAACACTGAGACAAGGATGCAGGACTTCATGAAACAAAACAATCCTTTAAATTTAATAACAATAGTTTTAACTATTTTTTTATGTTTGCAATGTGGCAGAGTCTAAGCTTATCACAGAGCTGCCAGAACATAACTCTGATATAAATTCCTTTGGATTAAGCAGCACAGCAGAACTTTCCTGGAGTACTGGGACCAGATTCCTGCACTTCTTTAAGACATCAAACAGACACAGGGACACAGGAACACAGGAACACAGGGACACAGGGACATAGGGACATAGGGACATAGGGACAGGAGCAGCCGCACAGGCAGTTTCAAGCGCTCCTCAAGGATGAGGTTCACAGTAAATGGCCTGCATCTGCTCTGAGCTCTGTCCAGCCCTGGGCTCTATACACATCATCTGGTAGTGATTCTGAAGAACATTACTGTTCCTCAGTGCAAATATTTTTCTAGTTTCCAGAATAGAAACAGAGTTCTGAAAATCAAAACGGGTTTTTGTGCATCACTAGCAGTGATAGCGGTTCTTGGGGCACATTCTCTTCCTGGTTGCACAGAAGGAACCAAGGGCAGCGTTTGTCTTTGTTTTTGAAACCCTAGCTCTCATTCCTATGCCTATATTAACAGGAATAAAAAGGAGCAGAGCGTTTGCTTACGTCCTCCCATGGTCAGCAGATCCAAATCAGGATGTGCAGGCTACTGCTCATCTGAGTCAGAAGTTGCAATTCTACAGAGTTGCTTTGCAAATATGATTAAAGCCTTGAAGCACAATGCTGTGCTCCGTGGGACATATCTGACCCCACTCTGCCTTTTCAGCTCTCTGCTTTTTCTAAGCTGCGTACATTTTGCGTGAATAGGAAGGAAACGTGTAAACAAGAACAGAAAAGATTGTTGTGAGTTCATTAATTCTGATCACTTAATAAGCTGTAAATTGAAGTGCATGACTTCCATTTTCTGAACACCGGGATAAATTTGAAGCATCTCGATTGACTTAGTTTACACTGATACGCATTAGAATAGTTTCGGGCTCCTTCAGGATCTAAATAATTATTACAGAAACATTCAAGAGCAGAAGGCACCTAGTTCACCATTAAATAACTAAATGAGGGCCACATTTAAAAAAGCAGAACTCACCCAGTGCAGAGGCAAGGTCATGGGGTCCAGGCAACTGAGGGCTGCAGCCAGGGCCTAAGAAGCAGGGCAAGATTTTGCACCTCACTAAGGAGAACACAGAGCTGTGCAAGAGAATAGGACTAGTGTCCTCCAGAGCTGCTTCTCACTGAATAAGTTCAGAACTTATCACAGAATAAGAGGAACTATATGCTGGGAGGCTGAATTACTTGCACAACTCTGTGTGACCAGTATTCAGAGTGGTGCTGATACATTTTGGAGCTTCTTTGCTTAGAGGTCTCCTTGAAAAGTTCTGAGGAATCCAGCATGATATCTTTCTTTGCAAAAGACTTTGGAATACTTTACTTTGTGGCTAGGATGCTGCCCATAAAATTTCACATTTGCTTCCTTGGTAGATGAAACCCTAGCAAAGGGCCAGTAAGAAGCCCAAATCTTTTCATGAACACTTTTAAGTTTCTGAATGAACAATCGTGGAAAAAGAAACCTGAAAAATCAAAAAAGAAAAAAAAAAAAAAGAAAAAAAAAAGAAAAAAAAAAAACCTGTAGCTGCTCAGCAGCGAGACCAGGAGCTTGTCTGTCTTCTGCTGGTCTGTCTGCAAGGAAATCCCAAGAAAGTTGCTCTAAAGTGATGCCCTTGAAACATGGAGATATAAAGGACTAAAAATGATCAAGCGAGATGTCTAGAGAGCTCCTCCTGCTGGCTCCTTCCTTAGTAGTTCTAGCACTTGCCAACACACTTGATTTATTCGCTCTTTTTAGGAAGCTGAAAATAAAAGGTGCAAAGCTAAAGCCACCTCTTATTTGTCATGACAAGAAAGCAGCCTCATCCCTTAATACGTCTCCTATTGCCACCCACTTACTCTAACTTTATAAGCAGAGAGAGATGTATGTTGAAGGTCGGAATGTTGGGAAGAAGCAGGACTGCAGGCGAGCAGGGCCGAGGGCTACAGAAGACAGGCAGGGACAGAGCGAGCACGGAGTGGGATGGGGATGAGCAAAGCACTCCCTCAAAAACACAGAGACCCTGGGGCAGGGGGTGTGTAATGAGACTGCTCACCGCTGGTTTTGCCGCACTCCGGGAGCAGCTTGCGGAGCCCCTTCCCGCAGCAGACCTTGGACACAGGCAGCCCGACCCACAGGACAGCGGCAGGAGGCTGCAGAGTCAGCTCTGTGTGGCACACAGGGCTCTCATGACACGCTGCCGGGCAGAGACAGTAAAGAGCATAAACATTACTTGAAGTGCAGACAAAAACAAGCAAACTCGGGTACCGAAATGCCACGGGGGCTGGCAGGGGAGAAGAGTGACAGCCTGTACTTCAGCTGTCTCAGGTTCTGGCTGGGAATGACCTTTGTAGGGCATTACATGCATGCTTTTGTTTTGCCAGTCTGCTGGGAAACACCTTTTTAAGACAAAGTAATTTTAGAATTGCCTCCAAGATGGCAAATCTCCTCCAAGGAAAAAAAAAAATATATATATATATATACATACATATATATGTATACGTAAAACAATCCTGGCTTTCCATGAAAAATTAATCCACGCTGTGATGTGGATTAATCCAATTCAGTACTTTGGCCGAGCTATTCCCCAAAGAAGCAAGCAGCCCAGACACACTGGCATCTCTTCTTCTACATCCTCACTGGTGATATTTGCCATAATCCTGCGAAGGCTGGATCTTGCAGGCATCCATGCCAATCCAAATCTCCAGTGTCCGCCTGTGTGAGAAGGAAAAACATCCCAAGGCAACATGGCTCAAGTGGCAGGTGGGAACCATCTTCAAAAAAGGAGCTTGTCAGATCAACAGGGCAAAGACTGACTCTTTGGGAAAGGGTGGCCGTGATTATCTTCCTGAATTGCAACAGGAAAAATCAAAGATGGACACAGAAAGGAAGCGAAATGATGTGAGGTGAGTATCCCAAAAGCGTTCCCAGCTGCACCGACACCGATACATTATGTAGATAAAGTTAGTCTTCCCTGCAGAGTTCTGTCACTGTAGCAGAAGAAAATGGGAGATTGGGGGGAAAAAAAAGTCTGTTACCCATATTGACTAAAAAGTAATCCCAGATATGTGAGCTGGGAAGGGAAGGGAAGGGAAGGGAAGGGAAGGGAAGGGAAGGGAAGGGAAGGGAAGGGAAGGGAAGGGAAGGGAAGGGAAGGGGCACATTTAGAACAGGGGCTTGTAAATCTATTAAGTTGGCTATAGGATATATTTTGTCTCTTTCTGCATGGAGTACTGAGAGCGTACAGTATTGCTAATAAATGTCATTTCTCCACGAAGCAATTGTATTCCTGTACTTCATATTTCCAGTGTGAAAACTCTAATGAAATATTTTAAAGCAAAGCCATTTCCTTGAAGCTGCCTCTGACCTCCTCCTCCGCTCTCAGCCGTATCTCTCCGCCAGGATAAATTCAGACCTAATGTCTGCTCCTCCAGCCAGGCTTTCTGGTACGTGACAATAGCCCTGGGAGCGCTGCCTGCTGATGTCCATTGTCTTGTGTCCAGTTTGGGAGACGGCTTTTAAGCAAAAGCCCAGAGTGAAATTGGTAAAGAGTCTAATGATTTACAGGAATGATCAACTACGTAGCTGGTTTCTGCACATGTCTATTAGCAACTTGTGAGTCCTTGGTAAGTAATTCACAAGGCTGCATTACAGGAACTGTTGAAGACTCAGTAATAGGCTTCTGAAAGTTTAAAAAAAAATGGAAATGAGGCACCAGTCTAAAATACTACAACCCTGTGGAGCAGCCAGAGCTGTGGTAGGGTACAAGGGACACGAGGACAGGCTGTTACACTTGCTAGTGGATAAAAAAAGAGGGTATGCACTGAGGAGAGAGGAGCTGCGCTTGGCAGAATGCCTTGCATGCACCATTTCAGCACTGGGAGCAGCATGGGCATACGGTGCAATTACAGCCCCTGCTGAGGTCAACCAACCAGCTACCCTGTGTCACTGCGGTCCCCCTGTAATGAAATAAGAACAAAATTGTGTCCAAGAACACTCAGAGTGGAGGTGCTGAGCTGGGGACTATGTCCAGGGTGTCAGAGGGGACAGAGATGAGCGGGCCAGCACAGCAAGTGCTGCTGATGAATGGGCCTGGGTAATCTGGCAAGGATGCCTGCAGTGATGGGGGTGTTAGGAGGAGGAAAGTAAATCAGAACGGCCCTGCTTTTGTGTCTTCTTTTCAGCTGGTCTTAATTTGTGGGGCCATTATGTGGCCATACCCACAGTGTCATTTGCATCCCACTTTCTGTGATGTGATCTAAGCAGCCTGCCCTAAATAGTTTAGGTAGATGAACAAATACAACCTTGGTAGTTAAGTAAAAGTCCATTCTCTGTTTGCATCTGTAATCACAAAAATCATTTGTCAGTGCAGAGAGAGCGCAAAAAGTGTTGTTGCAGATATTTATCTGTCGCCCACATTATATCAGTACATTACTGGGGGAAAAAAAAAGGTTTTATTTAAAGACCAACTGCTTGCTAGGAATTCATAATGAGGCCTCAGCCTTTTGCCTTTTGTCCACAAACTCTTTAAGTTTTCCTCTTCTGCCTGTCGTCCCCACTTCCATCAGTGTTCTGCAATTTGCCAGCCTCCTTTATGTCTCAGTTATGTCTCCACAATGTGAGGCAGGCAGACCCATGTGCCCACAAACAGAAAGGCTCCTCCAGCTCACAATAACTCAGCAGGCAGCTGTGATTTCCAGGGACTGCATTACTGTGTCCCCATGTCTGCTGTCAAACTACTGCCTGGTTACCGGCCTCTATTGTGAACCCCAGCGTTACCCCAAATGTGAAACCGTCTCCAGGCATCTCCTGAAACATCTTTCTTCTCTTTTAGCTCCCCTAACACAAAGTAGTCTAAGCTTGGCTGTTCTGGGAAATAAAGAACACACTCACCTTTCTGAAGATGTATTGTGACCGTGTGTCCTCTCTCGGCAAACTACTGAAAGTGGCTGGGCTCTGATATCACACAGATTAAATATGTCGTAACAGGTTTGGAAGGGGAGGCAGTCCTCCCGAGGCTTCTAGGAAAAACAGAGATAAACAGCATGAAAAATCAGTTCTTCACAAACAGCATAGGCTGAAAAACACAAAATCTGAATCTAAGTCCACTTCTCTCTTTAGTGCAAGCTCTGGCAGAGCTGGGATTATTCTAATTTGCAGCTGCTATTGGAACATTACAGTAGTGAGAAAAAGCCAGAGCAGAATTACTGCAGCCTAAGGCACCTTTCCTTTAAATCCCCTGCTTTGCCCTACTCCAACGCTACTCCTAGTCCTCCTACAGGGAAAGAGCTCTTGCCATGTCCTGCCTTGTCTTTAACACCTTCACACGGCAAGGATGGCACAGGCGGAGCGCGTGTGAGCACTCGGCACGCAAGCACCGAGGCCGGATTTTCCCGAGTCGTCGAGGCTGCCGACTGCAATTGCTGTGGTCTGTTCTGACCTTCTCCCCGAGGCTTCTGCACCACCCATCACAGTGTCACAGCACAAGCCCTGCGCTCGTCTGTGAAGATGCGAAAGGAGAAAATGACAAATAGAACCGGGACAGCCTACGTGGGATAAAGTTAATTCCAAATTAGCGATTTGGAGAAAATAACATGATAGCACAAAAGGAAGACAGAAAAAAAAAAAAAGGTTATTTCACTGACAGAACTTGCTACTTAAGTGCTTGGCTCAATATTAGCAAAATATTAGCCAAACTTCACACGCATAAAGTATTCTGTACCCAAAGCCCTCCAAATATGTTTTATTTATTTATTTTTTTAAATCCCTACTGTTATTCAGCATTTCAGGAAAGCTGAGGCCTAGAGCACTCCTAGGACTTTCTCAAGCTATATACACTATTTTAAGACAGCCTTTGGATTTATTTGCTATAGCGCAGGTTAAAAAAGTGCACCAAAGCCACCAGAAAGGTTGGCTGATCTCGAAGTGAGGTTCTCCTCGCGGAGGGTGACAAGGATACGGCGTTGCCTGCAGTTTGCTCTGCAGCTGCAGAGCCTTTTCCCCCCAGCTCAGCGCGGGATGACCCTGAGTCCAGACCTGCTGCCTGGCGCAGGCTGCACGCGGCTGTGACAACAAAGGCTGCGACAGACCCCGTCGGGGAAGCCCTTTCGGGCCCCATTTCCATCAGCTCACAAAAGGAACAGCCTGGACCCCCATGCTGGGCTCTGCTAAGGCTGCTCGGGGCTGCAGCTCTTCATTTGCAAGAGAAACAAGTGATTCATTTCTCTCTGACCTGTGCAGAGAGCCCGAGCACTGACCTCATCAGCCAATGGCTCCCACAGCTACCTTCCTCACACAGGTACCCCTGGGTAGAACCTCCTCTTCCCTGGCAGTTTAACCAACACAGCTTGAGGAACTTGGTATCAGGGCTTCAGGGCTCCACTGAATAGTGAAACTATGTTCACAGTGAAAACATTCAGTGCTTGTGAATAGTTTGAACAGTTTGTGAATACTCTATCTCAGCACTCACCTGGCCTTGTCACCAAGAACATCACCCTCTTGGCTTATGCTCATTACATCCCCATCCAGAAGCTGTTATGCCCTGTTTTGCAGCTAGGCATAGGGTAGAGAACCTCTTGTCAAAGGTCACAAAGGGACTTCAACGCTGTTTCTGAGGCCGAACTCAGAGTCTTGTCCATAGGACAAACCTCTAGAGAACATTTTTTTCTGCTTTGCAGAGAATGGAGTGCTTTCTGGTCTATCTGCAGGAACAGCGGTTCTCAGATGGAGTCACAGAAACGTGCAGCACAGACTAACATACATTTTCAATAAAAGTACTGTAAAGATAGTCAGACTAGCTCAGCTCCTCTGCAGGTCTCCGAAGAACACCCAGGTATGAGAATGAACACAATCAGCCTCAATACGTGGGCAGGCTGACCTGGAAGCTGATGGTGTTTGCAACACGTACCCACCAACTCAGAACCCCATGTCTGATGCAGGAGGAGCTCCAGCGTCTCTATCTGCTTTCCCCAGCAAAGAATAACACTATTAGTTTGAGAAAGTCCCTTGCTTGCTTTCTCTCTGAGTAATTAAGAGTGAAATCTTCCTCTCAGTGACCCCACAGCTCTCAGCACAGGCTGATTTACACATGAAAAGAACCCTCTGAGGGGCTTTCTCCCTTTCACAACCAGGCAGGACCTATAAATAGAACCTTTCTGAAAACAGGAGCTTTTCAAAAGGCCTGCGTATGTGTGCAAATGTATATAGGAGAAAAGGAATGGATGTGTGCACTTCAGAACATGTGTGTGTTTGCATGAGCGTGTGGCGAGTGGGCGAGGAGAACACGCATTTGTTCACCAGCGTGCATGTAGACAAGTGCACTGGACAAGCATGTTCGTGGATGTGTATGTGCACAGACAGCACTCACGGGAGCGATGGAGCATGTACAGGCTGCCTTCTAGCCAGCACGGCTCTGGGATTCGCTCACATGAATCACTCTGGATTCACACTTGAGAAAAAAAAAAAGATTGAGACCCCATGCATATGCCCCATTTTGTGCAACAGACTGTGCTTGGGGTATACTCTTATCAGTTGTCAAATTAGTAAAGTACTGGCAGATCAAAATGCCAGGGTTTTACACTGCTTTGGATATAAGGTGGAAGTTAACAGAGAAAGTGGCCTCACGGCATGTGTTCCCTTGATTCTGAGATTTTTAAAAAGCACTGTCTTCTCAATGGCCCAGGACAAAGGGAAGTGTTGAGTTTTCCAGGACTGTTGTAGCTTGAAGACATTTTTATAGGTTGCTGGGAAACAAAAAAGCTCCAAAGTCTGCAAAGTAAACAGGGGGACGGCTGCCATGAGAGAAAGTAAAGGTCAGAAAAACAGAACGACTGTGGCATCCCTTACAAAAGTCTGCTGACACAAAAACACCCGGATTTGTGCTGGCGGGCTCCCTTCCCGGGTCCTCACCCATGTGTCCCTGCAGCCTGGAGATTTCCCTTCCTGTGAGTCCTAAGAAGGACCCTACACAGCTTCCAGGAAGGTGGCAGCAGTGTGACCCTCTCCTAATACAAACCAGGTGACACTGAGTTCTGAGCCTGACTGGACTCAGACTTTCATAAAATAGATACTGGACAGTGACTCTTTGCACAGATAAAAGGCAGCTTTTTTTTTAAAGATTTGGCTACAGTGTCTTATCCCGTCACTCTTGAGGAGCTGCATCATTGCTTACTGGAACGGGCTCTGTGCCCAATGTCCCAGCAGCAGCCGGGCCAGCCACGCTCGGCGTTAGGCTAGCACTGGTGGAGCTCGTGGGGGGCTTCCCAGCAGAGCTCCTGTGTGTGCAAGGGAAGGAAGTGAGAGACCTGTCCACTGCACTGTTCTGATTTCATTATTAGTGAATGCAGCTCTGAAATCTCTCCCCTGCTGTCCAGTTCTCATGCAAGAATTTTGAAGGGACAGACAGAAAAACACACAAAGCAGGAGATACAAGGAGGGCAAAGCCGCACAGAAGGGCACAAAGTGCCTCTTTTGCCAGTTCAATAAAACTCTTCCCAGCTACTTGCACTAGGCAGGAGTGCGGGAGCAGGGATGCAGAGCTCCCCTCCTACTGGGCTCACAGCTAAAGCACTTCCCCAGTTCCCAGGGTCTTCAAATAAAGATTTGCATAGTGCTTCCCGATCATTCCCAGGAGAAGGGACAATGGCTCTCTGAGTGCCCTTTCCCCCTCCCTCCTTCACTTACAAAGCTGATAAAGCCCTGGTGAAAAGGAGAACAAAGGATTTACAGATGGCAGAATATTGATTTCTGCAGTTTCGGGGCTACGGGGGGGTTGGAGGGGGAGGGAAGATGAAGAATCCCCCTGAAACTCTGTGAAGTTCGAGACACGGGCGCGCTCCCGCAGCATGATATCTGCATTTGTTAGCACGCTGTCCCCTCGTGTCTGATGGAGGCAAGACATTGCTATTCCAGAGGGATAAGCAGGGCCCTGAAAACATGCAAATGCACAAAGATGAGATCGCACTTGGAAATCCCAGTGTTGCTTGTGAGCACGCTTGTTGTTTCCAAGCCATCCCCATGGAGCGGCACTTCCAGCGAAAGCAGTTTGCCACCAGGCGGACCAGACCGGCACTGCCCCCGCAGAGCCTTGGATATCAGAGATCTTTTGTGAACCACAGCTCACCAGGGATTTGTGCGGTTATCTGCCTCCTCATCTTCCCACTTATCTGCCACTGCAACTAAGTGAAAGAAAAAAAAATGTGAAAAACAAATACTTTGAAATTGTCCTTTGATTCTGAGTTACACTGCAGTGCTGCTCTTGTAGAACTTTCTAACTTTTAGAGCTGTTACCTGTGCTAAAGCTTATTGCTTCCTTAAGCATGTCTGTGCTTCATATAAATACTTCTAAGCTTTGTGTTACAAACCTTGCACAGCCTGGGAGGCAACTCCACCTGTGCTGAACTCTCACTGCACTCCCTCAGCCTTTCGCTAAACCGAACCGTGGCAGAGAGTGGTCAGATCAGGCACTGTCCATCACATTGGCATATCCAACCAGACAGAGACCAAGATATAGCCGAGTCCGGACCGCCAAGCATTTCATCCCTCACATGGGTTTGGAGACATTGCCAGGGCTGTGTCCAAAAGATGAATCCCACATCCTGTAGCCGTAATCCAGGCGGAGCTACTAAGGCACTGGCACAGCTGCAGTTCCACCTTCACCGATACTTTCCTTCATAATGACGTGTGCTCTGCTCTCAGGATGAGCACAACTGTGACAGTGATAACAACCATTACCTATTGCATACAAGGTATCAAATCATTTCTCAATATTCTCATTTAAAAATACCTGTTTTTCCTTTAAATATCCTCATGTCTTTTCTCAGAAAAAAAAAAATGCACTGGGTGGAATTTCTTTGTGTAATTTGGCAGTGACCCCCAATTTACACCACCTTGAGAAAGGAGGGGAGTCAGCCCCGTTAGTCTCCTAAACAACTAACACAGACATTCACTGCAGCTTTGGGGATGATAAAGGAGGACACAGGGAGGCATGGGAAGGCTGCACAAAAGCCTGTCAGGCAGCAGTGAGAACAGTGCATGGAGGCACTGGGGAGCCGCACGAAGACCCGCTGGGTCCCCCGGGACCCCCATGGAGGCCTGGGGAGCCGCACGAAGACCCGCTGGGTCCCCCGGGACCCCCATGGAGGCCTGGGGAGCCGCACGAAGCCCCGCTGGACCTCCAGGCCCGGCGCGTACGTCAAAACTCCCCATGACCCCTACGCTGCAGCCCCCTCACTACACCCCGCGCCGGGCTGCCCGCACCTAAGATGGCGCCAACCCCCTCAGCCGCCCCGCGCCATGACGTCACGCGCCTAACGGCCCCCTCCCCCGCACGCCCGCAGCGCGGCGCCTGCGCAGCAAAGCCGCCCGGCCGCCGCGTCCCAAGGTCACGCGCGAGGTGGGAGCGCTACTGCGCACGCGCGGCGCCGCGCCGCCCCGGCCCGCCCCGGCGCGGGGGTTCCGGTTCCGCTGGGCGCCGGGCGGCGCCGAGGGTTGGCGAGCGGCGCCGAGCGCAGCCCGAGCGGCGCCGAGCTCAGCCCGAGCTCAGCCCGAGTGATGCCGAGTGGTGCCGAGCGGCGCCGAGCTCAGCCCGAGTGGTGCCGAGCGAAGCCCGAGCGAGGCCCGAGCGATGCCGAGCGCAGCCCAGGCGGTGCCGATTGAGGCCCGGACGGAGCCGAGCGCAGCCCGAGCGGTCCCGAGCTCAGCCCGGGCCGTTCCGAACGCTGCCGAGCGCAGCCCGGGCGCTGCCGGGTTTTGCCGAGCGCAGCCCGAGCGCCCCGCGAGAGTTGCCGAGCGGCGGCGGGGGAGCCGGGCCCGGTC